AGGAGGTTCCCTCTGAACATGAGGAAACACTTTTCATGAGGATCATTAATCACTGACACAGGCTGCCCCAGGAGACTGTGGAGACTCCATCCCTGGAGATWTTCAAAAGCTATTTGGACACAATCCTGGTCAAATGGCCCTGACTGATCATGGGGGCTAGAAAGAGTGACTTCAGAGGTGCCTTCCCAAACCCACCACTCTATGACACAAATGCTGAAGGTTTATCACACCTGCTCACTACAGGGACAGCCAGCTCTTTATGCAAGTTGCAGCTACACTGGTGAGAGAGACTGACAAATTTTTCACCAGTGCCACCATGTATCCTTACATGGCATACAGCTCACTTATATCCCCTATGGACCACAGGGACAGATGTGATGAGGAATGGCACCTGTCAAGGATTTCCACAGAAACAGGGTGAGATGCATCAACAGCAAAGAGATCAAGCAACTGAGTAAGGCTATAGCAATAATTCACACCAGCACCGTGCTACCAACACATCCATCCCAGCTCTTYTTTCCTGCCAGCAGAAGTTCCCCATGGGCTGATTTACCCAGCTCCCCAGGCATGYTCTGCAACTTGCAATGAGTTTTTCATTCAATAATTTTATTAATGCGGGCAGACTCAAGAGAAATGTTTGCATAACCCCTGCCAATCAACTTTTTTTCTTCCCCTCCCTAGCAAGTACAGCCTTGAGAAGAAACACATGAGCACGAGCAGCCAGATCCTCTGATGGCCAATGCAGATAGCTCTGTGTGTGCTAGCCAGACTCTGGGTGCAGTATGGAAAAACCAGCTGGTCTCCTGGGGCCACTGGGAACCTCACAAAGTTCAATAAGTGTAAGATCCTGCACATGGGTCAGGGTACTCACCAGTGTAAATGGTGATGAGATTGAGAGCAGCCCTGAGGAGAAGGGCTGTGAGACAGTGGTAAATGAAAACTTGGACATGAGCTGGTAACAGGTATTTGCAGCCCAAAAGGCCAACCACGTCCTAGGCACAGTGCACTGAAGCCTCTGGTTCCATACAAAGGCTGAAACGCTGCCTTTTACTTTTTCACCTTTGTTCTTCTTTCACTGAACAAGCAATTTGAGCTCACCCGTGGGTGCCAACGAGCTCAAACCAAGTCCTATACCTGGCAGTCAGCTGGAGGTTTTTGCACTGTTACATGTTCCATCACATGCACAGACACACAGTAACAGAAGATGTCCCTTCTGACTGAAGAACATGCAGCAAAACATACGGGTTCAGGTGCTGCCTGCTGAGGGACAAGCAGGACCCAGAGAAGACTCTCCCTATCACAAAATGTGGAACAAGCAAGACAAAATACAACTACAGGCAGCAATATTTGAGAGAATTTTCTGTCTTTCCAAATCAAACTTTTGGTACTCACGGGCTGCCAAGGGAACTTGTGCTCACGGCTACTTCTCTGACTGCAAGCTGGGACGCTTGTCTGGGTATARAGTAAAACCTTGCATAGTTTTCTCCAATTTGGTTTAGTATTCCCAAAYTGTCAGGATCCCAGAGCTTAGCTCTGCCTTTCCACATCAAACACTCACAGCTGTGGAAGGCTGCCTGCTTTCCCTGCCAGCTGCCCTGCTGCTTCTCCTGGAGCTGCTTGGATCCTGCCAACCCTCTGACTGCATGAACTGCCTATTCAGCATGTTCAACTCCTTAGGAGACTCACTGAGAATTCTTTCACCCTTTAGCAGCCAGCAAGGAAGGTTTCTTATCTGTTGCTTCATCCATACCCAGAGGACCTGAATCCCAGCTCAGAGCAGGTAATCCCAAAAAGGATTTCCTTACTTTTCACCTTGAAATGCTGGAACAAAGAGTTTTGTTTTATATAGTTTGCCACAGATTTCCTGGGATTGTTTCGGTCTTTAGCAATGTCCCATGAACTCTTACACCCCAGGGGATGGTGCAGCAGTGACCTGGATCTTTCACAGTTATTTGTGAACAGATCTGATAAGCAGAGTGGGGGGGTTAGATAGATCCAAATAGCCTGGTGAAATTATTTTTTCCCTTTCGGTGCTCCTCTGCTGTCATACTTTCCTATCTTTAAAAGATTCAGATTCCACTTAATATTGGAACATGTAATTAATAGGACAAGACATATAATTTATCCAATCCTCCCAGCTTACCCCTGAGGTACGTGACTTGGAACATCACCTAGGCAGAGAGGSACCAAGGAGAGGAGAAGGCTGCTTYCATCTCCAAACACCACTTATGCTGAAGGGCAGAAAAGATGATTGTACTCCAACWATGAAACCTTTCCCAGACAGAGCATGCAAGGAGCCCTGGGAGCCCTGCCTGGCTGCAGGACGATGAGATTTTTGGACAAGATGAAGACTGCAGCCAAGCTTGCATCTGGGTGCTGATTAAGGTAAGGTTTTCTCTTGTTTATGTATTTATATTTATATCCTGGGATGTGACCAGAGCTGARGGGAGGTGAGAGGCTTGCACAGCTCTGAACATGCTGCTCATCAGCACCTGGCTACACAYTGTTTTGTCCACAGGCCTGTCCTCACACCTGCTGACAGCCTTGCCACCAGCATCTCAGCAAAGCCAGCTGAGGCTCCACACGTGGTAGGAGCTTGTATTCTGTGAACATGGACAATGCCTAGTGGCCCAAAACAGCTCTGTGTTCAAAAACATCAGTAAAGCAGAACATGGGAAAAGGAAGGATTATTATGCTTATTTTAGAGAATGAGATTTAAAGCCAGAGGAGTGATCTGGCAAAATTACAGAGGCAGACTCTCTAGAAGCAGGAACTGAATATTCAGACACAGTTTAGGGCTTTAACATTGACTTTCTCTCTCTAAGAGTTGCCAAGTAAAACCCCACAAGACTGCACAGGCTGCTTTCCCTGAYAATCCCCAAAGACCACCTGCAGGCCTTAGGTCTGTATTTTCCTTCTTCCCTTGAGCAGAGGTACAGGATTTGTGCAGGAGTAGTGGAAAATTGGCAAGAGTTCCACCTCTGTCTCCCTATACTGGGGCAGTTTCAACAGAGCAATTACAGGAGCAGGGACAATCCAAGCCTGCACAAGAGCTACAAGGAGGTRGGAGAAGCAGCAGTCAGGTTTCAACATCCATCTTCTCCAGAACTCCTGTTCTTGCAAAGGGACCAAATGGTTGCTCAGCAGWGCTCTAGGGCTCCTCTCCTGCCTGTACTGAACAGACTCAGCTCAGGAAAGTTCCTCTCACAGAGAGCCATGGATGCAAAATGTACATATATTCAAGGGGAAACTGAACACTTTCATGGAAATACTTTCAGCCAGTACGAGTCACTAAGCACACAGACAGCACATGTTGATCAGAAGATGTTCAGTTGCCTGTGACTGGAGGCTGAGGTGAAGCATCACACTTGTTTCTGCAAGAAAACCCCACGGGCCACTGCTAGAGAAGGACAGCCAGCTAAGAGTTTGGTCAGAGCCAGCACACCTGCCCTTGTTTTCTTACGTGTCTGCAGGTACAAACAGGACTTCAAGCCAGATGTGTGYTCATTGAGAGCCTGACACAGCCTGAATATGTGCACACACACATCCTTCAGGGAATGGTGGGCTCTGAGTACACCACAGCWACCACCATCCTTCTTGGGGTACTGGCCCTCCCCACAGTGACATCTCACAGCCAGCAACACAACCTACAGCTGGGGGAGCCATGGACACAGAGCTCACCAGGAGAGAAGTAAAGTAGGGAGGGAGACTGGAATATGCAAAAGCACGTAACACATGGGAACAGCATGAGTGTGCTCTGCAGCACCTGGTCTCCTGGCTCAATACCCTTGAGTAAAAGTGGAGAACCAAGAAAYCCAACAAAAATCAATTTCTCCTCCTTAGCATAAGCTTGAAACTACAAAGGGGAAAAAAAAAAAAAGGTAAACCCCAAACTCTGGTACAAATGAAGCAAGTTTGGGGTGCCCACCTCTCTGAAGAGCGCGCCATAAAACTGAACAATATACGGGCAGTCACTGCTTCTCATCACTACATCAAGGTCCATCAGAAGCTGCTTCTGTTCCTTTTCATCCACTGTCGACCGAATTCTCTGAAAGAGGAAGAGTGGCAGAGACTTTATCACTTATGTGTCATTACTGTATCCTCAGCCCTGCTGATGGAGAMACGGGACAGGGACCCAAACCCAAGCAGAGCAGGCAATCCCCCAAGCATGCTCAAAAACACTGTAGAGAATCAAGCAGTGTTCTCAAATAAGRAATATAAAATGAATATTTCTAAAGCTGTTTTATCAGACTATAAAACCCTCAGTCCCTGTGTAAGTATTAACATTTTCAGATTAAATGCCATAAAGAAATTAAGGAGCTGAAATTTCACTGAAAACTACAGCAAAACACCACATTSAGGCTTTCATTTCAAAACAAATTCCCACACAGTTCTTAGCCATGTTGGACAAGGTTTGAAGGCTGGTTTGAAATTTAACCAAGGRACATTATGTTTAAAATTTCTAAGCACAGAAGCCAAAAAGGCTCCTTCCACAGCCTCCACCATGACTGGGGAAAAGGGACTGTCACATAATCCAGGGAACACATTTCTCTGGTAATRCTAATGATGGGCACCAGTCCTGTGAGCTCTCTCATAAAACTAACAATCCTTCACCTAGTATKGGCCTAGGGAACATCAACAACAAGCATAAAAGATAGTTTACATATATATGCACCCCATGTGTATATAGAGCTATATATGTATGTATAAACAGACTATACTTTATATACACATTACATATTATGAAAAGTCTCATTTGGGCTTGAAGGAACAACGCACATTTAAAATCAGAAAACTGTACATTTTCAAACATGAAACTGGTTAAATGAAGGATGGAAATGACCATCCAYAGTTTTTCATGTGATTTTACAGCTATATTTAACATCTTGCACTAATTAATACATTCCCTGAATCATAAGTGAGGAAATCGTGATCCTGAAGCTGTGACTCATGTTGAAAAAACATTAAAAATGGCAAGAAAAAATATTTGACAAGAAGTCCAAAGCAACAGAGGTAGCCAGGACCCTCCTCAAGGACAAAAACCACATTGCTATCCAAGAAAAATAAACTACTCGAGCTTGGGGAAATAATCTGCAAGATACCAGCATCCATTTCACCAATACTACGGCYCCATGGGCAACAGCTGGTGGCATCAGGACCACACACATCAGCCAGCATGGGCCAGGTGTATGAAAGTACTTTCAAGGYTGGCCATTCATATAGCACCACATGTGAAACAGTGCACAATTATGTACTTCAGGACTTACTTTGTGATGACCCACACAAAACAAGGACAGTATCAACACTATAATTTTCCTTACCTGTGGTGTATCCTGGTATTTTGGTATTTAACCAYTCATTCCTAATGTTCTAGTACCTCTGGTTTGGCCTAGGCCAGTAAATGCTACATTTATATTGCCCTTTTCCCACCCTGTGAATTCTGGAGTTCTTGGGGACCTGTCAGGAGACTTGTCCAGCACACACAGTATGTAATATCCATGATGTGCCGAGCAGGTGGGGTTCTGTGTCACCAACAGAGCAAGAAGCAGCTCAGCGGGCCAAGAACAGAACTAGAACACTTCACCTCCAGGTCACTGGTTCAGGTCTGTTTCACACAAGTTCAGACAGTCACTATTTCCTACTCTTGTGCACCACCACACAAAGCTCTGCAATCCCCCCAAAGGCCAAGCAGAGCCAATGTCTCTCTCCAGCTCCATAGTGAGACTTACAACCAATAATTCAGTCTCTGACTGAGATAYGACCCACACCAAAAAGATCACCCCTTTGGAGAGGAACCAGAAGGAGCTTTTCTCCATATTGTAACTTGTATCCCCCTTCTGTACCTACTCCATGTCTGTCTCCAAAAGGCCTCTTTCCTGGTCATCTGAGAGTTGTCCCAGCCCTGCTCCACATTCCCCTTGGACCTGCACAATCCTGTCACAGCCAACCCCACAGCATCCTCCTCGAAGTCCACAACTTCCCCTGAAAGCATCTCCTCCCACCTCTGACATTCCTCCTCTACTGCTCCTTCTCCAACACCAGACCCATGTGAAATACATGCTGTATGGTGGAGATGACTTTAATGGCACTCCAGAAAAACACTGAACCCAAACACTGCTCAAACACAAGCTCCCTAGCAAGAAAGGGCAGGCAGAGGACCCAGAATACAAACAGTGGATCAGTTACAGGGCAGAGGTCCAGGTGGACACAGGAGCCAAAGGACACCCTGAGAGACAAGCTGGATGCTCCAACAAACATTGCTTCAGGGAGTGAAGGGAATGATGTGATACAAGACTGGGAGGTCTCACACAACAGGGCTGGAGACTGGCAGAGTCAAGAGAAGCGGAAAGCTCTGAGGAGCAGCATGCAGTACAGCACAGATAGGGTCAACCCAGGCTGGAAGAGATGGTTCTGCTCAGCAGGAGTGTGCCAGKGAGCCTGCTACAGCCCAGCCCTCCCAGCTCACCAGCAGAACAGGGAAGRTGAGTAAAGTCAACAGCAGTCACAGCTCAAACAGCATGTGAGCCATGGTACAAGCTGCTACCTCACTCCAAGGCACAGTGCAAAGCACTGCAGCAGCTCCCACAAACACACTGCCCCAAGAACATGARACATGGCAGGGAAGAAAGACAAAGCTGAGGCAGCTGCTTGAAGGCAGCATTTCAGACAGGGAAGGACAGGGTCTGACTTCACTTCAGGCCCTACAGCTCTCAGCCCGGCCACTCTCCTGCAGGCACTCACTGACAAGTCACTGACAGGAGACCCCATGGCCAAACAAGCCATGGATGGAAAAAGAGCAATTTGTAGYAGAAGATTACAGAGCATCATTTGAAACAACTCCTTGTTTGCCCCAAATTTAAACTGTATCAAATCCTCTAGGAGAAAATTCTTCAGCCCTTTTAATTCAAAYACAGGTCAGGACAAAGCCTTCCAACACCAGGAAGAAGAGCTCTGAAGCCATGCTCTGAACAGCACCAACAGCAGAAGGGCAGACTGTGCTGTGGATTGTGTCACTCTGAAACCTAAAACAAGGCACATKCCAGAAACTGGACCAAAAACAGAAGAGACATCATCCAGCCCAATACACACACAGAAAAATTCAGGTGATTCAGGTGCAATGTGATATAACTGGTTGGGAAAAAAAAAATTAAAAGGAGGAAAAAAAAACCTAGCTGTAAACACCAAATTGAAACTCAACTCCTTGAGCTGTGAGACAACCCAGCACTGTTCTGAGCATGGGGCTCAACTGTGTCCTCAGCAGAAAGCTCAGCACAGCAGCGCCAGGCAGTGGGATTAGAGAAGTGGTGCTCCCATGGGATAGCAAGGACACCAAACCAGGAGGAAAAAAATGGTTTCCCCAGTCACTGCTGAGGACAGGAATATCTATCTCCCCATCTGAAACACATTTACTGCCAACTGAAGTAGATCACAGCTAGTTTCCCACCTCCTATGATAGGTTCTAACTCTGGCTATTTCTTTTCAGCCCTTACTCATCCACTYCCCCTCAGCTACCCCACCAGCAGGGCTGGCAGCACTGGTTTCCCCAAWACCCAGCCAGCAGACCCAAACAGATGACTGGAACAGAAGATTCTGAAGGTGTCARTTTGGGAGAAGGAACCCAGTTGTGTGGTCTGGCAATAAAACTTCTCTTCAGAAGTCATATGGGACATGGGAAGGACAGAGAAATTTGCCCCTGGATGGAGCTAAATACTCCAATGTGTCATTCTGATGGGCCTTATGGGCTATCAAGCATCCAGGCAAGGATGGAGGGAACATGGATGTACAAATGTTACATTTCTGCTCTCAGAGGTATTTGATACTTAGCAAGCTACTTCAGCTGTGAGACTGCCATCAAGAAACCTGAGAAAGTCAGACAGGAACTTCTGGTTTAAAACTGTGGATGAGTGAACAAGACGAACCCTGACCAGAGGCAAAATGATGTACAAGAGACACTGTGTTCTGAACAAGAAACAGCTTCACAGCTTACTGGCCTCTCCATGGGTTTGACACCTGCAACTATCCAACTGATCTTGAAATGCTTCTGATTTTCTGAGGACAAGTTTAGAGTGGAAGTAAAGCACATGAAAAATATTGTTAAACAAAAGAGAAAACAGGAAACGAGCACCAATGGCTAAGGACACTGGCTGGAACTGGAAGCTGGACTAGGCAATATTGCAGAGTGGGACTAAACCAGCCAAGCTGAGGATATTGGAAGACATAAAAAATTCTGACATACAACTAAAAATCACTTTCTTTTGGGGTGGGAAAAAACTGAGCACTGTGGACAAAAYCACCCTTTCCCCCAGCTGGGTTACTCCCCCAGCTGTAACCATTTCTGACAAAAAAATAATTCAATTAAAAAGAAGCACAAGATGTTTCCATGGGGCCATGATAAGAAGCTTGAAGGTCAACCAAAGTACAAACTGCTCCACCCCGTCTCTTGGTGATGCATTTCTCAGCCAGCTGAACTAGTTGAAATGAAAATGGCAGAAGCTGCTGATAGTGAACCCCAGATGTCCGAGGTGTTCCCTACTGCAGGGCAGAAGAGGTGAAGAGCAGGAGGTGAATATCTCCTGCCTGAGCTTGAGGCTCAGACATCACTGCCAAGAACATCAGTGGAGGTCAGCACACCACTGCTGTGCTTAGGCTCCTGACYTACACAGGAGCCACCCAACACATCAAAGGTTGGCTATCTTAAATATYTGCTTATTTGTATTATGAACTCTTCAAACAAGCAGCTTTCCCACGCTTCCAGAGGCATTACAAAGTACCCTGTCTAGTAAAACCCACACCATGTACAACATCTCAGTGTAAAGCACTGCTCTAACTGGAAGAATGCTCCCCAGCTTTCATTCAGTTTGGGCTATTTTTTTTAATTCATGTATTTTTATATTCATATTCCAGGGATTTTTTAAAGTATCCTTTTTGTGTGAACTATTACCAGGGCCAGAAGGAAACCTCAGGACAGAAATTACACCCCCAAGCACTGGGTAAGGTTCCCAAGAAAACATTTCATCCAAATAAATGYAGTTTCTCCAATGTGCCTCCAATTTGTGGTACCCTCATGGAACAAGAGCCACAGTCCCTGGACAGCTGGGACAACCCCATGTAGTGATGCTGGAGGGCAAATACAAAAAGGGCTGAATGACTGCACATACTGTGGAGCCTCTCAGACAAAGCCAGGAGCRACAGCACTGGAGCAGATTCTGAGGAGGAACCAGGGCTCTCTGCAGAGTAGAGAAGCCCAGGACAATTTACGTTCTGCTGCAGACTGGGGAAAACCAGACTAACACAAAAACAAGAAACCAGAAGCAAAATCAAAAGGATAGTGGGTAGAACTGGCAGCCTGASCAGGCAAGAWCACAAAGAGCTGGKGCAGCAGATAAACACCAGCCAGGARAAGAGAATTCTTCAAGGAAAATGAGGAGCCAGGAAGAGAAATCCAACAAGGTGAAGATTTAGCATACAAGCTGGCCTTGCAATTAGTTGTTTGCATAGCSAGATCTGGCACTGGACAAAATTGGGCTGTTCTCTTTCCCAGCTGGATAAGTGACTTCATATGCCAATAAATCCTCAAGAAAATGAAAAGGGTATTTTCAGKGACAGGAAGACTGTGATGGCAGCTYGCTCACAGCAAAAATGTGCATCTCCAGGAAGATCTGAAAGGAAGTGACCTAAAGAATGAAAAGATGATTTTTTATTTGGAAATAAAAATTTGAAAGATTTGGAAACATAATACAACATTTTCCAGGGGCAAAARTGAGAAAGGTTTGAACACAAACCCTCTTTTCCTCATCCTCTCCCCCTCCTCCTGATAGCTCTAGAAAGAGGCTCTCTATGGCAGAAAGCATAAGGGATGCACAAACAATTGCAGGTGGCAGCAACAGGAGCATCAGGTCCCTGGTCCTGAAGCCCATTCCATCCTTCAGCCTATTCCCAGAGAGGTACATCATGTCTGTCATCAATCATGGTTGTCATTGAAAYAGGTATTCACAGAGAATGACCAAGGCTAAAGGAGAGGGAGGAGAAGGACTGGGGACATCATCCCAGCCATGCTTCACCAGCTTTGCTGCAGTGGTTTTAGCCAGCAACACAACAAGGCTCATTTCAGGCTCATTTTCTCCTTTGCTACTGACTCTGGAGCACAGATGAAAAGCCTCCTGACTCACCCAGGGCCTGGCAGCCTGGCCCATGCCAGGATTCTCATTAAAGATGCCAGGATTGTATCTGCCAGGATCCATGGGCTGATAGACCAAAATGCCTGACAGGGGAAAATGAAAGAAAACTGTGCCTCCACCTGCAGATCTCAAGTTATTTTGATGGTATTTCAGCCCTCAGGAATTATTTTCCTTCAGTGGTAAGAAAAACTGCCAAAACACACAGCAAAAAAAGGCTGTGCTGGGGAGCCCTGTGGGCACAGGAGCCCATGCACTGATGCCACATGCACCAAGCAGGGGAAARCTTAGAAAGCTTCAAGGGATTGTTCCTTGGGCCAAGGCATGACAGGCTACAAAACGGCAGAGAAAAGGAGCTGGGAACATGATTTGAAAATACGCTCTGGCAGACTGAAGGGAGCAGGATGAGTGTCCAGAGGTGCCCGTTGGCCCAGCAYAACAGGAGCTGCCTTCAGCCAGAGGAAGACTCCAGCAAGGGGAAAGTGAGCAATGTTTCAAACTGCACACATGAAAAACAAAGAGGATTTGAATCTCCAAGGTAAAATGGGGTGAACAAGCCTGGTCATGGTAGCTGCAAACAGGATATGGCCTTTCCAGAAGTGTGGTAGGAATTTTTTGACTGCACTGGGAATTTGTAGCAATGGCAGTGGAAATTTGGGGAGCAGTGGAGAAGGATGGAGAAACAGCTGGGACAGGCCCCCATAACAAATTTCTCTGCATCTAGGAAACAGTTCAGAACAGCCAGCTTCTGGTTTGCATTCTTTATAAAGCTGTTTCCTTGTGCTAAATGCCCTTGCAAGGATGCTTGGCTTGCTGCACTGGTGCTGCTCTTGGTGAAGCACAGSAGGGACAGACAGCAGCCCAACCAAACAACCAGACATTGGCTTCACAATCCAGCTGTGAGGGGCAGCACTCCTGTCAYCTGCCCCCAGCRTGGTGYCACACCATGAAGCTACAGGTGTCATGGAGAACGTAGCCAAAACCTCCCTAAATTGACATTTTCACAAAATACCCTTTCYCTTTTCAAACTTCTCTTACAGAAGAGCTTTATGCTGAAGGCAACAGTTTCACTATCAAGAGAACATAATCTTGAGATAAAGAGAGAGCAGGAGGGGAACAGTCTCCAACATGGACAGATTAAGATACAGGARAAGCAGGAAAATTAATGGACAAGCATGGCTGCCTCAAAAGCATCAGGAGTCTGAGAAMGTAAAGTCTGAAGRGTRTGGGATGAACTAGTCACTAGTCCCAGCTCAACCCCATTCTGAAACCTCATCTCAAAAGAACTGCACCATCCAATCTGGGAATTGCTGCTGCTGCTGCCCTGGAGGCCTGACTGACTATTCCACCCACAGGTCTTCTTTTGCTCAATTTGGTGTTTCCTCCCCACTGGAAAAAACAGAAGAGTCTCTTACCACTKGCATTTTACAAATGATGCTGTTGCCCAAAACCTCCAACCTTCCTTCCGCAGCAGGCCCATGGCCACCCAAAAGAAACAGGGTCAGAGAAAAGAAGGTGGCACCAGCCCAGCCCACAACTCGGACATTTCACAGTTGAGTCACTGTAAACAAATCAGATTTATTTGTTTAAAAGTGAGACTCCAAGCCCAGAAGACACCTCCTCCCTGGGGAAAGCCAGTTCACATGSTGTGCCATGACAACTCCAGCCTTGTGCTTCAAGGACACGGAACTGGTGCCTTCTGCCTCCCACACAGGAGCTGTACCTGGACCATGMGCCCTTGACACTAAGAAGATTCACCTACAATGTTGAAAAGCCCTGGTGCAAACAGTCTGGGACAAGGGAATCCCTGTGCCAGCWGACACATCTTCTCCATGACACAAAGTGCCCTTCTCTGCATGGCTGTAGCCACTGCAGAGCTCTGGGTAACAGCCACCCAGCCCTGGGGGTGTGCCCCCTTCACATCCATGGCTACCCTGTGCAAAACTACAGCTATCTAGGCCACACACCCCGAGTTTGAAAAGATGGAGGTGTCCAGGAATCATTTCACTATAACATTTTTCAACCTGTCATCTACAAACTACATCTGTGAGTTCTACTAAAGGGAGCTGAAAGAAAACAGCCTACAGGCAACCTCTAGCTCTACTGGAGACTTTTAGGGATTCAAACCTAGGTTGAAACAGCACGGCATGGTGATCCAAAACAGTCACAAGACCCAACCAGTGAGCCCACTACTGTGACGAAGTCAGTATTTACTGGAGGTCAAAGGATGGGGTTACTCCAGTAACCTGACACACTAGAGACAGGTATGAATTATATTCAGAGCAGCTGGAGCTGAGATATGTCTGCCTGGCACGTGAGACCAGCAGGGGCAAATGTTTCCAGATTAGATCAGGGAATATTCCAAAGAAGATAAGAGTCTTGGAAAAGACAGCAACACAGACTCCTACGTAGCTCACTTCTGCTTTTTCCTGGGAGCCATGAGAGCACTTACAGTTGATAYCATCGACAGAGTTAAAAGACAGATGTCATCAGCCACCTGCAGCGAGCAGAGGAAAGGACCAGAGAGAGAGAGAACAGCTGCTGCCCACCTCCACAGACAAGCAGCTCTTCAAAGATGCCCAGTGCTGTGGCATGACAGATAATTATTGCCCAGCTAGGAGAGGAGGCTGTTCCTGGTTCTGAGGTGAGTTTTTGGGTAGCAGAAAGTCGAAAATGGACAATCAAGAAAACTGCTACACTTTGCACCTCCAGAGCAGTCCGACACAGTAAGCACAAAGCAGACACTCCATCATACATCAGCAAGAGCACAACATTCCTTAGAAGACATCCACTCCATTCCAGCTCCTCTTGGTGAAGCCACACCATGGCACACGCTGGCATAAACAGCTAATTTTAACTCATTACCTTATTTCACAGAAGACACCAAGAAGCTACAAGATGTCAAGTTGTGCCTACCACCAGCCTAGGCTGTACCTGAACCAGTGACCCAGAGGTGAAAGGCCCGCGCCCCATCATGAGTCTCCAGAGACGTGTGATCCCCTCAGAACAGCAGGTTCCTGATAGACATTTTGAAAAGGGCACAGCAATTATGAGAACTTCACAAATCACCTGAAAACATGCCCATTATACACTGTATTTTCAGCAAACAGCAGCCTTTACACCAGAAATAAATAGAACAGAGCAATAGATGGGTGCTAGATGGAAGAACCTTAATTCTCCATCACACTGCATCCCAACAGACTGAAGTACAAATGTAAGGATGGGCATCACCTACTTTAACTGCCATAATTTGCCCACTTGGTTTGTGGACCATTTTGTTGACAGAACCATAAGCGCCTCGTCCAATTTCTCCAAGGTCTTTCAAGTCCTCTGCTGTAAAATCCCAATGTTGTTCAGGGGATATCTTCAATTTTCCTGATGATTCAATGCTGTGTGTTCTCAGTCTCTCTCTGTCAAAAATATTGGGAAGCAATTTTTCCACATTTTAAATAGTCTGTAAATGTCTCTTTTTAGCACTTGATTAAACATTAGAAGAGAGGGGTTCACAAAGCTACAGCAACAATCTGACTCCACGAAGGATTTTGGTTGGGGTGGAGGGGTGGGGGGGTGAGGGAAAATGTTAAATCAAAAATGACATACACTTGCCCACAGCTTCAATTAAGGCTAAATTTCTCCAGCTGCAGCATAAAATTCAGTATGTCTCATAGAGTCATTCTAAGCACTCATTTACACAGTTCTTTCTACTTTGCACAAAATACATCAGGCTGTGAGCAGGACTGGTAACATGCAGCACCAAGAGCCTGAAGAGCACTCCCCATCTCCCCAAAGCTGCTGCTGCTCTGTACCACCACATCCCAGCAGCTGCCTCCCCTTCCAGCTGGGATTCTATCAATATAGGCAAAGCTCTTCTGGGCAAACCAGTGAGACTAGGAGAAGTTTGCCCGTAAAGCAAAACTGCAATTAGGAAAGAAAATAACCCAAAACCCCAAAATCCAATACATTTAGAAAACCATTTAATTTATCCAAAATCAAATAAAGAGCCAATCATTTATAAAACCAAGACAAGTTCTTTGTGACATATGAAAACAAAATCTGCCTGTTAAGGTGTGTCTTCACCAAACACCTAAATTAACTTCTCAGGCAAACCCTGCTCCTACTGAAGCCACCAGGATTTGCCCAGRTAAGGAGCAGATGAATGCCTAAAATTTCAGAAGAGTTCAAAGGTGCCCCCAATGGCATATTCACATGCAAGAATGCTACCACTGAATTACCAGAAAATGCACATGTACTTGCAACACTTTTCATYTTAAAATGCCATGCAAAATTTCAGGTTTTCATTAGTTAATTAGCTGGTTCACACTTCTTGAGTCATAAAGTAAGCCAAAAGCCCAAGTATTCCACTATGAGGATGCATTAAAAGCATTACAGACAGTTCCCACTGCAGGGCACACTGATCTCACACAGATTTTAAAGCACGTAAGTACTTGTGTGACCACTGTGCATACAGGGGAGATCTACCAAACTCTCTGGATATTTGATCCATCCCCCACTTGCCTGTCCAGGGTCTGGCCCAATGAGCAGAACACATAGGGAGGATCTGACCAAACACACAGAGCTTRTTGAGTTTATCAGCCGAGGAATAAACAGGTCACGGCTGATTCCACGCTGATAAATCCCATGTTGGTCACCAGCAGCTGCAAACACCACCCAGCTGGGGATCCAACCATGACCRGGTTTTATTGGGATCCCAGGTTTTGCGAGGGCAAAAGGCCAATYGACTGGAGCAGCTACAGTTCAAATGGCTTCCTCTGCTGCACTTCAGCCTCTCTGCAGCACTTTGGGTTAGTGCTGCCCACATTTGGAGCAGCTGCATGCCCTGAACCCTTGACCCACTCAATGAAAGCCTTGGGGAGCTGCTTCTCTCCCACTGCTGGGCTGTGTCTGTCATGGAGTTTCCTGCTTTCTAACCTGCCCAGCTCAAGATTTTGATCTGCTCTTCCCTACACTGCTCCTAAACTGCACTTAGGAATAATCTGGGAAACCACTTGATAGTGCTACAACACAGCAGAGGTGGGATGGACACACCACCTCAGAGCTTCTGTGCATAATAAACACTGTATTGAGTGGGGTTCTCCATGAAAGTTACTTAAAGGAAAGAATGGGGAAAAAAGCAGCAAAATAACAAAAAAGAAAAGAACAGAGGAAAAAAGAAATTWAAAAAAAATTAAAAGAAACATRACCTCCGCACATGCCAAGCATCTCAGAGACAGCTTCTGTTGGGAGCTCCTGAACTGGTTTCTGACTAACTTTTCCACCATCCTGTTTTGTCAGTGCCATAAAAATAGCTCTTATTTTRAGGAGGAAAGGGAGCTGGGAAGCACCATGCCAAGGAGGCACAGGCAAACAGGCATTTCCTGTCTCACGTCCTGCTGGCTGGTAGGCATGAGAGCTCTATCCCCTTCAAAAAAGCAGAGGAAAAACGGCAGAGGTGAAATTTAACAGAGCATGAAATGCTGAGTTTTGACTGACTGAGCTCCTTTTGCAGCTCTTGTTTGAACAATATTTCCTATCAGAGTTCTCATGGAGCTAAAAAAATTCAAACATTGAGGTAATTTATTCAAATAAGCAATTAAACCCTTCTCCTTTCTCCCTCTTGTTTYTCAGACTAGGAAAGTTTGCTTTTCTGACCCTACACGAGAAGAGAAAGCGAATTGGAATTCATTATTTCCTTGTCACACAAGCAGCCTGTGTGTCCCCAGCTGTGATGTGAATGTGGATCTGTGCCATTGTTCTGCAGCTGCAGGATGGTGCCTCGAGCTGCTGGAAGAAGGTGGGAGCTCAGGAATATGCCCTGCCCAGGGCTGCACCAGGGGCTCTGCAGCTCTCCAGAGGTTTGGAATGAGACAGACCATCACCATCCACCCCCAAACCCTCCCCTCTTGGAGCTTGGCTTCATTTCCATTAYGTATTTATGATGCCATCTGCCTTGTCTTGCAACCACAGCTCCTGCTTAGCTTTTCTCAAACACCCAGGGAAATGGTCAAATCACCAAATTACCAGTTTGACAGAGTGACAGACACTTRAAAAGAGGTTTTGCTCTCTTAGCTGATTTACCATATGCAAGCAGGGCAGTTTTCCTTTAAGCAGCATGGCCCACCTCAAGAGTTGTAACTGGAATGCAATGATTGCTTTTAATGTCAAAAAACTACACTCCGTATTAGAAATTTTTCAGCCTAAATCAAAATCCCAAGGGATTCCCATGCCAAGAAAGCAGCTCMAAAATGCAAATCTAGAACACAGACTCTCTGCATTGATCTAAATTGGGAATTTTTTGAGATAAATCTGAGTGAGGCAACAAAAACTAACGCACCAATGTGGGACATCTATCCATAGGTTTGTACTGCTGCAGATGTATGAGGACATAAATCCACAGGGTGGGCATGCCTCCAAAAGCAAAAAAGCCTGCCTAAACCCTGTGTTACCTCCTGGTGCCCTGGCTACTAGAGCAGCCTGCTTCAGAGAGCAGCAGCCCAACCTCACAGCCCAGAGTCTAGTGAAGGTAAAAAGTAGTGCCCAGCCCATGGGATTAGTGCACATCAGTTGTGCACAAAAGTGAGCAGACGTGTGCCTCTCTTACCATTTTGTTTTTAAACTGTGCAATCAAACCTTCTCTAAGGCTGCGAATGTTGGGCAAAAAATTGGTTATACATTCTCCAATGCTCTGCATGTGTAAGATGGACTTGTGGGGCTTATATATGATTTTAAAAAAACAATATAAAGAGCTAAAGTGGGCTTTAACTCTTCAGTTAAAAGGAGCATTTCCAAAAACACCTTAGAGTGACTACAGCTCCTGACAAGGGCTTGAGCTTCCAACTCCCTATCCTGCTTTTGAAAATTTTTGAAAAGAGAAGAAAAAAGGGACTGAGGAGATGGTTGCAATCCCTGCACTTGAAAGGCACCAATGTGTCTGTCTCACTGCAGATGGTTACTATGCTTGTCACAGCAGTTATTGCAGGGATTAGGAGCACCAAGCAAGACAACAACTCCTCCAAACAGTTGTCCTTTGTCAGAGCTGTGTCCAGCTTGGCAGGAGGCGGGTGAGTGCTGGGCCTGGCACCGCCGGGCTGGGCATGGCCACGAGGCTGCTCACACAGCTGGACATGCACAGGAAGGTTTTCCACAGCTAGAGAAACCCAAAATCTCCTGGGGACACTCATGGAGACCTTGGGAAGCTCCCAGACACATTGTGTAAGTTCCTCGAGTGTTAACACCCAACTGCAGGGAGGCCAGAACTTTTTAAAACAAGCATTTCCTTGGTATGAAAAAGAAGGACTGTCGAGAGAAGCAGAGAAAAGTTGGTGGGTTTTTCAAGCAAAATCAAAAGTCAATAGACAAAGCAAAGCCAGAAAGATGCTGCAAGTAGCCATCTATCTGCCCTGTTTCACTTTGCTGAGAACTCTGCAGGAGTCAAGSCCAAAAGCTGGCATATTTGATGATACAGCTGACATAATGAATAAAATCTGTAGCAACAAAAAGATCCAAGCAAACCAGCTATGCTTCTCAAGCCTGCCTCGTGCTGGATTCTGCTCAGAAGCCTCTCATTAAATCTTTTATTTAAATTAGGGTTAATGAGAGTATATTCTACTTCTCCACAGGTTTGGTAAAAAAGCTGGCATTTTAAAAACTGATTTGTGGTCCATCAGCCAAAGCTAAAACATAAAACCTAATAAAAAAGCTTCCAGGCAAACTGCAGTGTTCTACTAACACTGTGCAACTTCAGAGTACAAACAATGGTGAGGAGCTTGGTAAGACTCTCAGAGAGCCTGAAGAGGGTGTAGAGAGCTTTGATTCTTCAATCTCAATGTCTGTGTCACTTCTAAAACCATTTTCAAACCCTGCAGACTAATGCTAATACCAATACCAACCCTAGTTTGAACTTTACTGGAAAAAGCCACCAGAAGAAATGTTCCACTTTTTTTTCCAGAGGGCTGGTAATGATGGTGCTGTCACAAATTTTTTGGATTCTCAAGACAAGACATTTTTGCTTTTCATAAACAAAAAGCATCCTTGCAAGRGGGGCACAAATAATGTGGGTTTGCTCTGACCCACGTAAGCTCTCCTGAGGGTTCATTATAGTCAGTAACAGATTCCTAGAAATGGAGATAGAGAAAATGTGGCAAAGGAAGGAAACAGTTTTGCACCTATGACCTACCAGACTAAAGCAAAGCACATTTGCTCCCTTTCCTTGTGACCAAGAGGCTGAAATTCTCTTTAGCACTGCTCTGGCTTTCCAYGCTCCTCCAAAACTTTAAAATAAAGATAATAACAAAAAGTGGAAGATTGGACAGYCCTTCCACAGCCCACATGTCTCAGCCCAGCGCATGCTTAAGGCTCTAAGAGTCTCCCTGGCTTGGCTGAGGCTTTTAAMATGTCAATATTTTGTATTAAGCTCCCCTGGTAAAGTACTGAGTTACAATGGATTTTGATTAACCCTACCCTTAACATGGATGAAACCTCTACACCCATTGTGGTGAAAACTGAACTGAATTTAACTGAGCACATYGATCTCAAACTCATTTTGACTTGGCCATGAGCCAGACTGCAGAACATTCACTGAACCCACCGTAGCTGGGATTTCAAAGCTTCCACTGTATTCAAGAATTCCAGGATAAAACCCTGAGCTAATTAATTTAAACAACCCTTCTGAGAATGCTGACTCTTTTTATTTCCTCTCCTGGGTCATGGGCAGCCCCTGAGAGAGAACAGCAAACAGAGACACAAGCACACCGTAAGAATCAACAAAATAACCTTAATACAGACTATAATGGTTTACAAAATCATTATACAGCAATCACCCGATGGAATGACCCTATTTCTGAGACAATTTCATTACTTTAAGAGATGCCATTTTTGCGGGATGGAGAAGATTTGACAATGGCTAACAGACAGGAAAGCTTACTGTAGCCTGCTGGAAAGTTTCTGGATGAGGTCCGCTTCTCTCCTTTTGAAACTGAACGGGACAATGTGATTACTACTCAGGGTTGCTTGTGTGTCACTTCAGCGAGGAAAAGTTGTGGAAATGACAGGAAAACATGGTGCTGTTATCACATGACACAATAACGTACAACACAATACTCAGCTAGTCACACTGCCCACTGAGCACTCAGCATCACAAATTAGTAGCCACTTTTTGCTTCCAATTTCCACCTAAGCAACCTCCCCTCTTTGGGGGCAAAGCGGCACCTGATGATTTGAGTTCACTTAAACACATTAAGTTATAAGCAATTTGTTTTCTTAAGGCAATGAGAATTATTTCCAACTGTRTTACTACAATTAGAAACATGCATTAACTTATTAGCCAAATACCTGTATGTTAGTGACATGCTACTTCCTTGAGGCACACTGACCATCCCTGCTCTGCTTTTCTTGTGCTAAGGCTAAGAACATTTTTTCCCATTTAAAAAATTAAAAATCGAGCTTCCATCCTGAATCCACCAATCTAGGACTGGTGGTCTCTACTRGGTGGGCTTGCCATTCATCAGATCCCCTCTCCCAAGTAAGTTTGAATGAATTGAACAACTCTTTATTTATTACTTCCAGAGCCCTACAACTGACAAGCATTAGCCACCACTCTGCACTATGAGACYTCTCCAGGAACAAAAACTGTGTTCTGGACCTTAAGAGTCCCTCAAGCTGTCCAGTTTCAGAAATCTTTCCCAACATGAGGACCTGTTATTTMAGAGCAGTTTGATGTGCTTGGGTGAGATGTGCTCCTGCTAAGCACTGTGTGGAGAACAAGCCCTGGATACTTGCACCACTGACCACTGCAGCCATGGACACATGGTCAGCAAAGGAACCAGGGGCTCTGCTCAGCTCCAGGGAAAACCACCTAAGAGGAGCAAATAATGAGCACTGCAAATTCAACTACAAGAAATGGTTTAGTTTAAAATACTCTGACGAAGTTATTTATCTATTTTAAACTTCTGTAGGACATAAAATTACAACTCTAGTCTGAAAAAGTCCAACTTCTCCTTTGGGGTTTAAAAAATAGAAAAATATCCCACAAACTTTAGGCTGCATCACAGCTTGAAATAATGTGAAATTCACTGCCAAAAATGCAACTGGTCACGTATTTCTTTCTGTGGCAGACAATGACAGATGGGAGACACAGAAAGCACCTGACTCTAAGACAGAGATTGCATATCCAGAGATTCAGCTACTTCATGTGGTGACCAAAAGAACTCATAACAAGACCAAGCAGACCAAATTTGATTTGTATTTTTAAAATGTCCCTTCTCTRAGACAAAAGACTTGTGCAGACCAGGTGAAGATTCCCAGTAGTGTGGTGAGATTTTCCAGGYTGGGCTCCTCTGTGATGGCTGCTGGGGCACGATGCTCTCACTGACCCTTCAGAGCCAAGAGCTAATTTGCTGTAAGCTCTCCTAAGGATGCTTACAGAAAACAAAGGGTGCTGTAAGGAGTTAGACCAATATTCCCAATATTCACTGCTATGAAATACCCACCTAGAATCTCAGAGAAAACAACACAAGCTGCATTATAGCAAAGCCCCTGTGCTCCTCAGAGGACAACCACCTTCACATTACTTGATCAACTGGTATCAGAAACAATCACTTCCAAMTGATTCACACTTGTCTCTGCAAAGGCACCAGTTACACCAGGCATGAAGGACCATTTGCTCACCTGGATTTATCCCAAGCATATCCTAGGAAAGAAGGAATTAAAACAAGCTCAAAAAGAAGACTGTTCAGCGTTGCCATAATCCACTGGAGAAAGGTGTGGCCATTTAGGTTTAGGCTGGATATAAGGAAAAGGTTCTTCTCCCAGAGGGTGGCTGGGCATGAACAGGCTCCCCAGGGAATGAGTATGGCACCAAGGCTGCCAGAGCTCTTCCAAGCAGGGGCTGGGATTTGTGCAGGGTGCAGGGCCAGAGATTTGATGATCCTTGTGGGTCCTTTCCAACTCAGTCTATGCCATGATTCTATGATKTGCTCTCTCCCACTATTAAAGTCTCCCAAAATAGAGAGGTGCTCATGATATGAGGCAAGAATATCCACCTGATACCAAGGATGTCTGTAGCTTTTACAGACACAATACACTACAAACCATAATAATGTAAGTCCCTTTCAGAAGTCTGTTCCCCAAACAAGCAGAATAACCAAACCAGTTCAGCCCAACAGGCCAACCCCTACCTCCATCACATCCATCCTTGTCCACTCCAAGGTAGTWTGAATAACCACTTTGTACAGCAGCTGATTTTCCTGTGTATATCCTGTCCATTCAGATTCGATGTTCTCCATGGCAAACTCTGGAAGTCACTCATTTGTACAAAGAATGAGGACAGAAGTTGTCGACAAAGACCTGTGGGGTCAATGCAGTTTCTGAATCTTAAGACTCTTGTCTCTTTACTCTCCATTCCTTGATGTGTACAGAAGATAAAAGCAATGACTGATTCCTTCAGTTTGAACCCACAAAGCAGAAGAGTTGACTCACTTCTCCGTAGTCAAGGGAAAACAAAAGACATTTTACTAAGAGGTGGTAATTTAAGTTTAAAGAGAYAAAGGATGTGCCTGTCCTGCTCTGGTGAAATGGAGCAAGATCCCAAGCATACAGAGTAACAACAAGCAGAGTTTATTCTGAGAGCTGCCAATGGGGGTTTCCTGCAGGAATGTGGTTTGCAAGGCTCCCATCTGGAGTCAAAGTGTTGGAGTCTCATCACAGATCCGACTTGTGGTGGTCCATGCCTGGCCCTTTCAAATTAGCAATGACACTGACAGCCCTTCATGGTCTGGAGCCAGCTCCACCAGCTGCACAACAGAGCTGCACCAAGCTCAGTCCAATGCATAAGCCATGTTCTACTTTGCTTCTTGTAAATAATTATTGAACAAAGTATTGATCCAAAAAACGGGCAGACACCAAACCTGTATGTACACGCTAGAATATTTATACACATGTATTCAGAGGTGTTACACATAAAATTCTGCTTCACCCCATTTTCCTCTCCAAACATCAGCACATCCTGCATAGGAAGCCAGMAGTTAGTGCATTTGCCCAAGGAGGTGGGGGGGAATATGGGGATATGGGCTCTCTTCAGCCTGAAGATTCCCATCCATGTGCTAGAACACCAGTCCCTAAGATATACACCATGTGAGCATGGGACAACTATGGTCTCGTTGATCTTGGATCAAAAGAAAAGCTCMGAAAGCAGATTTATGGGGCTAAAAGAAAGAAACTACAGAAAGCCAAGTGGATATGCCATGCTCTCTGGTGGTTTATAAAGATGAGCAAAAGCATCTCCTGCTCTCTGGAAAAAATTTAATGCAAATCAGTTCCATCTGCTGGGTTTTCAGAGCCTGCCTGGTGAACTAATGAGCTCAGACACAGCGATGCTCAATGATCCCTCYTGGGCAGGTCMGCAGCAATGTGCTATGATCAAAGGRTCCCTGGGACACCCTGGGATGCAAGAAACACACAGGTGGCTTGGGATCATTTTGATTAAAAAGTTCAAATCCCAAACACTACTCATGGCAGGAGGGAGAAAGGGAGAAATTTTAGCAACTTCCGGTTGCCAGATGGAATTCTGGATCTCACCTGTACTTCTTAACCATAAAAAGTTACTGGTGAATGTAATCATACTATTGGAATGCTCGGAGATGGCATCACATCTCACATTCTCTACAAAGTATGAAATGTGAGTTTTGTAATAGCTTACAGAATTTTACAGATAAAATGTAAAAGACAAACACAACAGTCTCAAAATAGTCTGAAMATACAACAGATCCAGATGTTATTGAAAAGTCCAGCATGAATGTAGCTGTGTCTCCCACYTTCTCTTGAACCCTCCAGAGAAGACTGAGGTATTCTGGTGTCCTGAAGGCTTCGAAAGTCTCCACACACTAAGACTTACAACCAGTTTGCCTAGAGCATGTACACAGCTGGCCTTGCTGGTGGCTGGAGCACCATGAAATAAAAGAAAGAAGAGGGAAAATTTTTGCTTCTGGTAACACAACAGCATGAAGAGAAGACCTGAARGCAACTCTCAAACTACTTCACCTACTTTCCCTGCTTTGAAACAAGCACTGCAGTAGTTACATCTTGGTGTGAGCTATGCAGCTGTCCAGCAGCAGACGTGTCACCAGGATGTGTGAAGAGGGCTGCAGCTCAGGAGTCCCTGGGGTCTGCTGACCTGCTCTGCTCCTGCCAGACCCAGCACTACCTCAGAACAATGGGGACACAACCAGYGGAGTTACCTACACCCAAAATTCTTAAACCACACCAAATCCTCTGTGTGGAGCCTGAAACCCCAAACAGCTTTTCAAACAAAGGCAGCACCATCCTCCATCTCATATGGAGAAAGGAGAATGGGAGAAAATCCAGTTCTTTATGGCCAGGATGACAGACTTCMCTAAATCATTTTCCTCAGCAGACTACACAACGTATTATCAAAGAACTGACCTTATATTCAGGTTTATAAACTTGTGATTTTTGGAACCATGCTGACTAAGCAAGAAAAATGGTCACCCCTGGCTCTCCATCAGGCTCTGGAGCATGACAGGTACCCCCAAAGCAGCAATCTGGTCCTGCACAGGCTGAAAACACTGGGCTTTTGCCATAAGCATGGATGGAGTCAAGGATGATGCCTCGTATGTGCCTCAGGGAAGGACGTGGCCAACGACAGGTCACCCATGGAGCTCCATGAACACTCCCATGGAGACATGTTACTGGATAAAGGGGAGGTAACACAGCTCACCAAAAGTCAGGCATGAGAAGGAAAAGTCTACAGGAAGCTCCTACCCAAGGGAGACATCCCCAGCTTTGMTCTTCTGTCCAGAAACTCTTGTGTCCCAGCAGGAAGCACACAGGGAGATTTCATGTTGAATGAAGTCAAGTTCAGTTTGAAAATGAGCAWTTTCAGCTCATTTCTCTACCTTTCTCATTCCCACTGACCCAGAATGCTTCACTTCCCTCCATTCCATTCAMCTCAGTAGAAAAAATCTGATAGACAGCTCAAAAACACTGCCCTTCAGGGAGTCACAC